GCTTTTATGTATTAACACCATAGATTTAAAGAATAGTAAGTAAGGCTTAATCCCTATACTTAAAATTTTCCAATTTAATGGGAAAAGGCAGTTAACAAAAAATTATAAATATTTCTATTGCCCTAATAACTTATTTTCATTCAGGAACCAAAAGAATATGCTTGAACTAAATCTAATCAGCTTTAGCAAAATGAAGTCTGATGTAGTGATGTTATAGTTTGATTTGTACATAGTAGGTACTTAGTAAATGCTGTTGGATAAAGGGAAGGCCAGATGTCCTATCCAGTTTCTGTATAATAAATGCTGTGAAATCCTGACTAATTTCCAGAGTATTGCATGTTTTCTAAGTTTTTACAACATACTTTAAATGTCCAAAGTCATGTGGTTTTGGCTACTTCAGGGGGTTTGTTGGTTGTTTTTTTGTTTAGTTTCTTTTTTTTTTTTTAATGTGTCTAGTAAGGGCTACAGAACTCGTTCATTTTAGTTGAGTATGTTAAAAAAGAAGTGGGGGAAGGGAGACTAAGTTCAAAATTTCAAATTGTTTTGGCAAAACCAACTCCTTTTCATACTAACCACCAGGCCACAAAGCTTCATTGTTGTCCAGTTGAATGAATACATGGCTTTCACTTGGAAAAAAGAAAAAAACCTTTCTAGCAATTGAAGTTTCAGGAAGACGATTGTTTGTGGCAAATGTCAGATGAATTTGCTCATCAAATAATATTGTCAGTTGTGTAATGCCCAGTGGCTTTCATGGTCTATCTTTCTCAGCCAGGGCTTGCAAATTCAGAAACTAGATGAATTTATTTAAAAATATATACTTTTGCTTACATATACTTCATCTATCCTCTCTTGCCCTTCTGTTCAGCCATTCAGGACATACCTTAACAGAGCCTCTCAAACATACTTAGAATTCACCTTTAACATTACTTGTTTAGGTGGGCTGTCTTCCAAAATGTATTGCTATAACTTCAAATTACTGGTACTTTGAACTAAGTATGGCCTTAAGAGATAGTTCAGTTGAATTTTCAATAGTTTTGAAGGATTCTAGATAGTCTCTGCTTCTGTCTGCTTTGGCAGCAGTCGGCCAGGGAAATGCTTTGTACAGGATCCAAAAGAGTGTTTCTAAGTGTTCAAAAAAGGATTAATTATGAAAGCAAACTTTAAAAGTATAGTCAGAGTTGGTCTCAGTTATTTTTGAATTAAGTCTCAAAGCCACAATGATAAAAATAAAATACCTTGCCTGATTTCTATTTAGATCTGATCTGCCTGTCACCAGAAACTCATCCATATAGGCAGATTAACTGTTCACATGCTCTCTCAGCATCCAAGTGCTGTGTGCGGAGTAATGGAAAATGATTAATTTGTTTTGTCGTTCCTTTTTAGAACACAGGACAACTCTTTAAAAGAAAATAACCCTTTACTTTGAGAACAGAGAAGGTTAATTATGTTCACCTCACCAAGGAGCTTTTAAGTAAATTAGCCTGGACCCTACCTCAGCCAGAACAATTATCATTCCTTATCAGTGTTCCATATCAGGACCCTCTGTTCCATGTTAAATATGGAAGAGGCAAATGTGATTGCCTGCTTTGGCATATCTTGAGGGCTTGGGGCAAGGGCCTTGCAGTATTCAGGGAAATGATTAGCGTTTCTCAGTATCTGCCCTGTGACCAGTGTCTTCGTGGCCTCAAGTGGCTAAGCCCCTGTCAGCTCATCCACAGGAGACAGTTTGCTGTTCACATCCCACATTTCCTTATTAGGACATTATTAGGCCCACAAAAGATTTTATTCTCATCTTCCTCTCTTTTACTCTGTCTGGACCATTCAACTCAACTTTACTGTCCCTCGTTTTCTTCCATTTGTTTATTTAATTTTGAGTGTTTAAAAACATTCACTGTCCCTCAAGTCAGGTTTTAAATTGTACTTTTAGAAAATAATTTGTGCTACATATATGTTTCTACAACATTTATAAGTTCTAAATGAGTATTTATTGATCTTTGCGTTGAGAAGGTTTTTTGTTGTTTTCTTTTCCCCCATAAAACTAAAATCTATTGTGTATAATAGCAAGTACTCAGCCCTGGAAATTAAGGAAGAATATAGTCCTGCCTTTAAGAAATTTGCTGTCTACTGAAAGGGACAAATAGACAGGAAGCGATTAGGCAGGTGATAGGAGGCATGTGTGTGCATGGGAAGCTCTGAGGATGGGTACCCAACACACATTTTAGGAGAGATGTTCACGGAATAATCACTAGTATTATCGTTGTAACAATAGCTAGTGTTTATTGAGTGCTTACTAGTGCCCTTCCCCATTCTGAGTACTTTACATATGTTAATATATTTGATCCTTAAAATAGTTCTACGCTATGGGTGTTATTATCATTCCTGTTTATAGGTGAAGAAACTGAGTCCCAGTGCAGAAGGATCAGGAACTTCCGTAGGCACACGTGGCCAGTAGGAGACTAAATCAGGGTTTCAACTCCGACCACTCAAGAGGCCATGCTTTTAACTGCCATGTTAGAGGAGGTATAACCAAGCCAAGTCTTGCAGAAGGACAATCAGTGGGCTAATTTAAGCAGCGTGTAGAGGATATTCCAGACAGATGGGCCTTTATGTTGTCGACTGAAAAAACAAAACAAAACAAACAAACAAAAAAGCACAACCTAAAAGTCGAGAATTATGTTTTCTTTGGTAATCTTACTGAGGACTATATAATTGGGATATAGGCTCTCAGATAGCTCTGAGGAACTGTTTCAAAGAGGTAAGGAAGGAGCCAAGATATATAGGAGTTTTTGCTGGGAAAAAAAAAAAGAAAAAGTCAAACATCGAAAGATTGCTGCTAATCACAAAAAACAGCCATCTCAAGTTAATGATTTTAGTGTTTTTTCTATGTATGGGAAGATGAATGAGTCCAGGTTCATTGAAATTACTGCTTAGATATGCATCTTAACTATCTAGGGCCAGTATCCTGTTTATCTCCATCCTGAATTCCCCTCAGGGTACATCATTGGAGGTGGCTGCATTGGCTGATGGATTGCTGGCAAGGCTACATTTGTTGTTTACCAGAATGGCAGCAACATTTGTTTGGTCCACAGTGTGCAAAGTCATGATGGCACAGAAACTTTGACAGAAGCAAAAATATAGAATAGCATTTATGGTAATAGAACCAGAAGCTAATTAGCAGCCTCTAGATGAGGGCAAAACTGTAAAATCTTTTTTCTGTTTTAATTTTTTTTTTAATTAGGACAGTTATAAAATGGAAAAAGAAAAAAGAAAAGCAAGCTCTTTGCCTGCTTTTGGAAGTATCTGTTCTAAAAATACAAAATGACAAATATTTGGAGTTAGTAATTTGATAGGGCAAATACCCAAGATGACAGAAATATCTTTCTTCCTGGTTTCCTTATGCAGTCATTGACTTGCTTTCTGCCACAGAAGAATGAAGGTTTTTCCACCCCTCAGGTGTTCTTGGGTAAATAGTAATCCCTAAATGGTTTTCTCCTTATTTTACTTTCTCTTTATAGAAAGCCATTTTTCTTACTCTTTCCAACCTTTCAAGCTCCCAACCTACTATGGGAAGAAGTTAAAGCTACAGCAGACTAAATCTAGAGCCAGAAGGGCTCTTAGAGATTTTTAGATCCTTCTTTCCCATTTTCCTGATTTGGAAACTGAGATCCATGGGTTAAATGATTTTCCCAAGTTCATATAACTGGTAATGGCAAACCTGAGATATAACTTTTTATCTCCTGATTGCTACTCAGTGATCTTTTCCACTGTACCTTGCTGCCTCGAATATATCTTGATGTCCTTAAACAGAAGGCTACCACAAATAAAAATATTATCTGAGTAATCTAAATAATCTATCATTATTAGAGAAACTATTTTGTGGACATTTAAGACATTTTCAGAAGTTTATGGTCAGAATGACTATTCTTGAGATGTAAGAGTATTTGGGGTAAATCAAGAGCTTTAGATGTGGCACCATTGCCCTTCTGGGGTTTCAGTACATTCTCCCAATAAATTTCTCAGGGAACTCCACCCAGATGGTACCCCTGATGTGGGTCTCAGAGTTTCCACTGCTCAGCAGGTCCCCAACCTGGGAGTGAGACGCCTTGACCCCTTCTCACAATACTCCCAAACTCCACCAATTCTTCCCTTGCTTGGGGCTCAGGGGCCAGCAGTCTGCAAACAGCATCAGAAGTTCCTTTTAGAGCATGTCACTCCTCTGCTGAAAACCCTCAGAAGACCTTCTGTCTCATTCAGAATTAAATACACTTACTTCACTGTGGCCTAAAGGCTCTGTAAGATCTTACCATAGGCATCTTCAGCCTCATCTTGGGCCCTCCCTCAGCTCACCTGTAGAACAGTGTCTGCTATAGAGTCAGTGTTTAGTAAATGCTTGCAGATTGAATAAATGGATAAATCCCTCCCCTTCGTTGAGTAAATTGCATTCGTTCACTCAAGAAGCAGTTATTGAATACCTTTTCTGTGGAAGCACTGGGTGGACTGTGGGTACAGTGGGGAACAAAGACAGACATTCCCCACCCGGAGGATGCTTACTGCCCAGTGTCAACACAAGCATTAATTAAATAACCGCACAAATAAATGGAACACTAGTACTCTAATACTTGTTGCAAAGGAAAGGCTCATGATTTAACTGAGAACTTATTTGACAGAAATCAGTGAAGGCATGGGTGCCTTCCCTGAGGAAGTGATGAAAGATAATAAAAATTAACCAGTTCACTTAAGATTTATACATTTCATTACAAATTAATGTAAATTTTACATTAAACATATTCAAGTGGAATTAATGGTATGCATGCTGAAGTCTTTAGGGTAAAGTGTACTAATGTACACAGTTTACTTTGTAATGCATCCAAAAAATAAGTTGGGTTAATGGATAGACGTGGGGATGGATAGATGAATATGTGATAAAGCAAATATAACAAAATGTTAATAGTAGAACTTAGGTGGTGGGTATTTGTGTGATCTCCGTAAATTTCTTTCAGATTTCCTGTATGCTTGAAAATGCTCATAATGTTGGGGGGAAAAGTTTTAACCAGATAAGGAGACTGCAGGGAACATTCTCCACCAAGGGCACAGTATGTACAAAAGCAATTTGCGTGCCATTACAATTCTATTATTTTTATGTTTTGGATGATGTCTTTAGAACAGTAATGTATTTCTAAATATTGGATATAGTTTTAATTAAGTTTGCCTTGTTTCTGCTTTGTACTCTGTTGACTAATTTTTATTAGTAATTTTAGATTGTCAAATTTAGATTGTCACTGACCTCCTTTTCTCCATTTGAGAATCCTTGAGCTGACAGTATTTCACAGAATCAGGTTTTTTTTAATACTATTTAGAAAGTACTTGACAGTTTTCAATGTACTTTCACATTCACTCTTACTTGATTATCACAGTTACTCTATGAGTATGGGATAATAAAGACCATCATTATTTATCCCCATTTTGCAAATAAAAGACTGAAGCTTAGAAGGGCAGGGGAAACCACAAAATACAATTAATGTTGCTGGAACTGTGCATCTCCACAAATGAGATAGGCTGACTTCTGGTTCAGCATCCCTTCCACCTCACCACTGTCCTCCATCAGCCAGCTTGAAACACGTGACTGGGACCAGTAAATCCCACAAACATAGTTTCTTTATCTGCCACCTTAAGCAGAAATTGCTAAACTCTGTCTCTTTCAGCAAACACTTGCTTATACTGTTTGCCCATTATTAACATGCAATCACATTTTGGGGGCAAAAGTTCTTAAATTTCTTCCCTTTGTTGAGGGCATTTATGGATCTCAAGACACTCCTCCTTATAGACTGGTTGTAAGGGCCCAGTTCGTTATCTAGCATACAGAGAACACTAAACTAGTCCTCACTATTCTTTGTGTGTTATTTTTCCTTTATATCAGGAAAAATATTTAAAGAGGGGATCTCAAGGGGAAGAGATATGTTTCTTTATTCCTTCTGTATTCCTTTCTCCTTCAGCTCATTCTTGGTGTTCTCTTATTGAAAAAAAATCCCCAAATTAAGCTAATAATAAGATAACTCATCATTTGGTTATGTCTAGAAACAAGAAAGCAATAACCTGGAATGACAGATTCTGTACGTTTTTTATAGTTCTTCACTGAAAAAAATTACTGTGAACGAGAGTTGGAAAATACCTAGAAAGTCTTCTTTATTCAAATTTTCTAGTGAAGATATTCTACCTATTCTCAAATTTCATAAATTTGTGCTTTTTAAAGGAGATCTTCTACCATGTTTGATTAGAATGGTATTATATGAAGACAAATAGAATTTGTTGTTGACAAAAGTCACTGATGCCATATTGCCACATTAACTGGTGGGTTTTTTTGTTTGTCTTTTTAACAAGCCTTATGTACCCTCTTACCCTGAGACACATGTAAACACTTCTAAGTGGGTGTCTGATTTTTAAAACTCTCTTAAAGTGAAGCCATACCCGGCCTCTGTACCCTGACACCAAATTAAATCTTGGAGACAAGAGTTTTGGGTGAAGTAAAAAAGAACAGCTTTACTGCTTTGCCAGGCAAAGGGGCCACAGCGGGCTTGTGCCTCAAAAACTGTGTGTCTCAACATGGAGGCGATAGTGAGAAGTTTCACGGTAATGGTTCAGAGAGGGTGTGATCAGCTCGCAGACACTCTTCTGATTGGTTGGTGGTGAGGTAAGTGGGAGTTAGCATCATCAACCTTCTGGTTCCAACCCGTCTGGGGTCTGCCTGCTTGAGAGCAGCATACCATTAATTTCTCCCACCTTGTGGGGCTTTCAGTATCTGCAGAACAGCTCAGATATTGTTATATATGTATATCCCTTAATGGGGAACAAGAACCCTGCCCCGAGGCTGCATTTTTGTTTCTCTTGACTGTTCCTCCCTTGTCTCCACATCCCCTCCCTTCCCTAATTAGCAACTGTTTGAACCTTCTCACTGGAACTCAGGGAAGGTCATGGAGGCTGAATGAAGCCTATTTCCTGTTATCGAGACATGGAGGACACAGAAAGGCTTTTGTGCCCAGGAGCCCCACAGGGTCCTGCTTGGTATCAAAAGTACACAATCTAGAAATAGAGGACTCCTCTGATATTCCAAGAAATCCACATGACTTTGAGCTCTGAGGCTCTTTGAAGGATGTGTGTCTACGAAATGACTTTGCCAGCCCAGCCTCTGCTACTTTTTCACTTGGTTCCAGCTGTCATACAGTTTGGATGAAAAGAGGACCCTGTGAAGCCAATATAGCTGTGCTGGATCTAGTCACCTCAAGTGAAAAGGCAGACAGTCTCTCTTTTTCATGATCTCACTCTTCCTCTCCTTCAAACTTGTTTACTCAGGTCCTTTTACCATCTTTCAGGCATTTGTCAAAAAAGTTTTTAAGTGAATCTCTTTCCAAATGAAATGGAATTGCATTTTTGAACCCAAATAAACTGCTTCATAACCTCATGTATTTAATATCTATATAGTGCCAAAAATGCACACACATTTTTAAAATAAAAATATAGACACCATATCCTTTATGTATCATCCAGAACCTCAAAATATATGATTTCAATAGCACAATAAGAAAATGGTGGTTGTTATAGGTTAATAAGAAAATAACATGTACATTTTTACAAAGAAAAGTATATTCTGTTTCGTAAGCTTTCTCTACAGGAGACAGGAATCTAAGAATTGCAGTGAAGCCCCTTCTAATTCCTAATAGCTGCTACTTATGTTGTCATACTATATTATTCAATTTCCCTCAAGTCTGAAGCAAAGGAACACCTAAAGAAAAGTATACTGTGGACCAGTACAAACTGTTCAACCCCACAGCAGTTTGGTGTGTGTTGAAGATTTTGGAATAGTAAAATTGCCAGCTGATTCATTGCCCCTTCCAACAGGTATCTAAACACGCCCGTACGCACAGAAGCCGGAAGTCCTAACAGACAGGACTTCTGAATTTCACTGTTGTTTCCGCCACTGGATCTTGCCCTTAGTCTAGAGAAAATAAATGAAACAGCAAACTTTTGCTTCTAGGTTTTTAATACAGAGGTCAAGATTCAGCGGGTTGATTAGAACACGGTAACCCTGCCTTTGCCTTTATGTGGCCAACATTTGTTGAAGCACCTCTTGTGGACAGATAGTGTGCTATCCTAGTGCTAAATGTTTCAAAAAAAGAGAAGGGGGTATTAGTATCATAAAACTCAATCTCATACCTAACGCCCTCTAATCAACAGAAAGACTGTCCTGACCCCTTGTGTGTGTATATATATTGGATGCGTGGTCTTGAGCACAGACCCTTCAGCACTGGCAAGATGAAATTCTTCCTGGGTTCATCTTAAGACTTCTTTTTCCAGAAACAAGCTCATCAAGGACATATCTTCAAAATTCTAGCTGCTAAGAGTTGATAGCTAACAAGGGATTAGGAATTTACCTAAAGCATGCACTATTACAGCTACTGGTTGCTGTCCTTTTCAATTGGTGATTTGCCATGAAAATATTTATGTAATAACACTGACATTTCTGCATTGAGACTGCTTGGATTTGCATACCAGTTTTGCCACCACATGACTGTGAGGAAGTTATTTACACTTTGGTCCTCAGTTGTCTCATCTGTAAAATGGGGATAACCTTAGTATCTACATTATACAGTGGAATGAGGATTAAGAATTGTATTCAAAATTGAATTACTTTTTTTTTTTTGCGGTACGTGGACCTCTCACTGTTGTGGCCTCTCCCGTTGCAGAGCACAGGCTCCAGACGCGCAGGCTCAGCGGCCATGGCTCACGGGCCTAGCTGCTCCGCGGCATGTGGGATCTTCCTGGACCGGGGCACGAACCCGCGTCCCCTGCATCGGCAGGCGGACTCTCAACCACTGCGCCACCAGGGAAGCCCCTGAATTACATTTTTATAGTTAGTCTTTCATTATCCTACTAAACAGGATTAGGAGTAATTGATCATTTGCTTCCTAGGCCAGTGGAAGTCCAGCTCCTTAAGCCTCTGAGATAAAGCAAGTACTATAATCAGCGTATTGTATCAGTTTTTTATGAAATGGAGTCTTAATTGTGAATTTCTCTGTTTTCAAATTAGATATGAAATTTATTATCTTGTAACATTTTCAAAAGAGAAACACTCTTTAAACCCCTATGTGAATGTCCAATTTAGTTCTTCTAGAAAATTGATTTAAGAAAATTAAAGACAGGTTAAGCACCTGTCATTTCCTGGTGCCATTATTCATAAACTTGAGAAATTGTTCCCTTAATTCTACCAGTGGAGACTTATATGTGCCCTTTAATGCATTCGACCATGTAAGGCAGAAGTAATTAATCAACTTAAAAAATAAAAAGGTTCCCTGACTGCATGAGATATTTTGCCCTAGGAAATAGCATGCAGTAGGTCCTCATTGGCACCTTTAAAATCCAAGCAAGTTCCCTATTTAGACTTCCCATCTGCTATTAGTTCTTGTCTCTCTAGCACAGTTAGCTTTTGGGGAAAAGTGAACTTGAAATGCCATGTAATGTGACAAGACTCTAAGCACAGGATGCCAGCCAATCTCACATTAAAAAACAAAAGACGGAAAAAAAAAAAAAAAGACGGAGTTTGAACGTGCATATGCATACTTTTTAAGTCTATATGACAACGTGGTAGGTTTAAGCACACTAACATGCATATAGAGGGAGAGAAGGCCAGAAAATAAACGTACTCTCCAAATACCGCTTAATCATGAAATTATGAGACCTGAGGTGACTGCAGGCCTGGACTCATTATCTTCATTACTTTATGTCTTATTGTTGCAGATGCCTTAGAAATCTCAGCATCTGTACATGTAATTTCCTTAAAATAAATGCAATTAACTTTTTTCTTTGTATAATTCTTACATCTTTTACATATGCATATTCTCCCTCAGTAAATTTAAAGTTCCTGCAGAAGAGAAAGTGTGCCACCTACGTCTTATGGATCTTTCTGTGGTATCTAGATATACATTTGGTGTTACTTAACTGACTAGAATATAAGGATGAAGAGAAGGACATGTGTACCAGAAAGTATTTCTGATATTGAGCAAGATATTGAGAAACAATCCATAAATGGAATATAAAATAATCACATCTACAATAGATGAAGAGAAAGTATAAAGATGTTAATGGAGACGCGGGGGGTTAGGGGAGGGAAGTAGAAAAATAACCGGTTAAGAAAGAAGAAGCCAAGCAAATTTTTAAGGTTGAAGCTTTACTCAAAAAAAAGTAGCCGTTTGAATATGTACCCCCAAAACATAATCAAATAGAATAAACCAGTATGTGTAAACATGCTAGGAAAAAACCTTTTTAATGCATCACCTGATTGATTGAAAATTTTAAGCAAAAATATTTGCATAACCTGCTAGCTTTACAGTAGGGAAAGAGATCATTTGCTTATTTTAAGATCAAAATAAGTATAACATATTTAACCCAGGTTCAGAGGGTCACTTTTGAATGAAAAAAATTATGGGATGAAAAAAAGGAAATAAAGTTTTAAAACTACAAGTTGTACCGAAACCATTGTTTATGAAGAAGATTTTATCCAATGCATAAAATTTTGCTTTAAAATCACCATGGCATTGATTTGGATTTTACTATTCAAGGGCCAATATAATTCTTGAGGAAAGCTATAATTTTACTATTTAAATGAATATAGCACATATGGTGACTAAAACTACTAGTTCTCCTAAATCTACACATTAGGGCCTATGTTAAGAAACATGTCATTTTTTTAATTGAAGTATAGTTGATTTACAATGTTGTGTTAATTTCTGCTGTATAGCAGTGACTCAGTTATACATATATATACACATTTTTTTTATATTCTTTTCCATTATGGTGTATCTCAGGATATTGAATATAGTTCCCTGGGCTCTACAGTAGGACCTTGTTGTTTATCCATTCTGTGTGTAAATAGTTTGCAACCACTGACCCCAACTTCCCAGTCCATCCCTCCGCACCCCCCGACCCCATCCCTTCAACCCCCGGCAACCACAGGCCTGTTCTCTATGTCTGTGAGTCTGTCTCTAAGAAACATGTTATTTTGATTAATCTTTCCTATTCATGAAATAATTAAATAATGCTATTTAAAATGCATGGCAGTTTGAGTTGAGCACACGCCACAAAAAAGACTAACAATGTAAGTGTTAATCGGAAGGAACAAAATACTAAATCTTTTAAATGGAACTCGAAAAGGAAGCTTAAGTGGAACTTGAAAAGTTATGAATGTGAAGAAACAGCACGTACAACTTCCAATTTCAAAATGGCCAAAGTAAGGATGTTTCTACTACTCTCTCAAAAATCACATTAGAAGAATACAAATATGAAGAGATAGAAACGGTGGTTTACATGTTGACAACTAGAAGACATCTATAATGCCAAGTCAAAGAACATCGAAAGAAAAAGGGTAAAATGCCTCATGACAGACGTGAAACCCAAATGCCTGTCAAGGGGATAGCTATGGAAAGCAAATTTTATTCACCCTGTAGAATTTCTGAAAGGCTTTTGAGCTAGTGGTACCCTTTGATTGCAGAAGGAGAGAGTGGAAATGAGTACATTGAAAGTGTCTTCAGGGAAGAGTTAGACCCTCCACTGTCTGTCTCCATCCCTGCTCCTCCAGAAACCCTGCAGGAGATGTAAGGCTATGCTCTGGAGAAGCTCTGGATGGGAGGTGAAGACAGAGCATCAGGGTGAGATAGGGATAGGAAGAGTAAATGAAAGTGAGTATACCAGACGATAAGAACACCAGTTCCTAACCCAGGCTAGTTCCAAAAAAATTGAACTCCCCTGAGAAAAAAACCCTGATGCACATATAATTTGGAGCTTCCTCCCACCAAAAAAAAAGAAAAGAAAAGAAAGAAAGAAAAAGAAAAAAAGCCATTTGACCACCTGATTAGCCTATCATTAAGTTACATAATTCTCAGGTATTGTTTGCAATAAATTCTATGCTATGCATTGGTAGCTAACAAACCATGTAATCTTATGGCTTAGCACCATAAAAGTTGATTTTTCACTCACATTAAGTCCAATATGGTGGGCGGCTCTCCTCTATCCTGTAGCTCTGCCGTCTGGAATATGTGGCCTCCAGGGTCCTTATGGCAGGGTGTGAGGTGGAAAAGGGAACACACAGACTCTTAACTGTCTCAGTCCGGAAGTGACACATGTCACTTTCATTCATAATCTATTGTGCAAAACCATTCATGTGGGAGATGTAGGGGAGTACATGGAATAGTGGGTGGTCACTAACTTCCTGATAGCTCTGTGCAAACTTATGTCCAGGTTCCTGCAGGACACTTTCTTCCCATGCACAGCCCTAGGGTTTATTTTTTATTTCATTGAATAATTACAATTCGTTTTAAATGTAAAAGCTACTATCTGTGTGCCTACCCTGTGACAGGACTAAGAATACAGAGGTGTATATGGTACAGTCTCTGGTCTCAAGGTTATTCTACCATTTAACCTCTTAGTTCAACATTTGCTTTGAAATAATTTTCAGAGCATTCCCTCTTAGTGGTTATATCAGTATGTGTAAATCAGTGACTAGCTAATCAAAGACTGTAGAAGTTATTGATTTGTAATCAACAGGACCTTGTGTCCCTGTCGCACATATTTAATTTCAGATTATTTCTTCCAAGTCTTTTGAGAACTACTCTTTTCCTTTTTAACTAAAATAATTGTTGAGAGCTCTTTTCTTCTTTATAATGGCAACATGTGAGGATCTCTAATATGCTCCATAGATAAATAACTGCAAATTCATCTATTTCTCAGTATTACCTTATGATTTATTTCTGATGTTCACTGAAGCAGGTTTTTAAATTAATATGAAATTCTCCATAGAAAGTTTGATAGTATATCAGTTGCAAGCAGTTATCTAGGAGGAGCTTTATATTCAAATCAGTCTTGCAAATGCATCTCATATTCTTCTTGAAAAAATTTTTTCTCATGTAGATACATTTATCTTAGACATATTATTTGTTATTTGACTCTCTAAATCTACAGCTTGAACTGCTTATACCAGTGGTACAACTGATTTTTAGTACTTGGCTTCTGAAAGTATTAATCAATTTTTCATCATGTTTGCTTGCCTTGTGTTTTCTAGAGTACCCGAGTGGCCTTAGACCATCTGGAGTCTGTGCCTGAGAAACTGAGCCTACTAGAAGATTTCAAAGGCTTCAGAGTGAGAAAGAGTTTGGCTTTTCTCTTTCAGTATTTTTATCTGAGTGAAAGCACTTGACATCTTCCTGATGTGCAAAGAAAATTGTAGGGAGGGAGGAAAGACCATAAAACATTGGGGACTCTTAACACTCAGTCTTACCAGAGCTTATTGACATTTCTGAAGCCAGCATTGAAAATAGTGGAACTTACATATTAGCACAATATAGGAAAATAGAGGCTTTTACCCTATTACCAGAAGCTCATTTGGCCCCCTAAAGCTTCAACTATAATTTAGAAAAACCTAAGAATTAAAAGGAATTACACATTCCTTTTAATTCTTTTAAAGGAATTAAATGACTTTTTTGATAAACAATTTTAATTTATGAATTATCTTTTTTTAAATTATAAATTTCCAGAGTACTGTTTGTCTTAGAGATACAGTAGTGCACAGGTTATCCCTGTTCTACAATATATGAATTCAGATCCACATAGAATTTTAGATTTTATATCCAATGTTATTTATTGATAGAACTCTAACCACAAAGGACTTTATTATCAAGCCAGTTAATTACATGTCGGAATTTACCTACTGTAAATATAACCCTGCCACCCAGTCCTGCCAGACAAGGTCCAGGCCAGACAGCACATGTCCCCATAGGGGTGCATATGTAATGGACAGTTTTAGTGATTTGTAATTTCTTGACCCTGTATGAACAAACAGAGATGAGAGTTTCTCTTTGAAAACCATTTAACTGTTTATTTCACGTTTGCTTTAAAATATAACATATATAGATTCTGCTTAACTCTAACATATTATTTGAGGATATAGTGAGTAAGAAATATAACCAGATCATGCCATGTTGATTTATTAGAGGTACTGATACGATGTAACTTTCAAGGTCTACACTATCTTAAAATTTCATTAAGTGTATTTTGCTAGTTCAGTAACTAAACATTTTTGAGTGGGATCTAGGGTTGAGCTGACACATCTAGAAATCTAGAATATCACTTATAGAATAAAGCCAAGTGTTTCTAGTATATTTTACTAAAGTTTTAATTCTTTCTCATGATTTAATTGCATATTTGCAGTCTAAATCTTTATCAAAGAATTATGAAACCAGTGTTCAAGAATTTCTTTTCACCCTTATATGACCCGATATGGAAAGCAGACAATATGTTACACCCATGTCCTTTCCACTTTTTTCTTCTTTAGCTAATAGAAACAAGTGGCATTTGCCATTGAAAAACTAATGCCTGTCTTATACCAGCATAAAAAAAATAAAGTTTAACCTCCAGTGACAGCTCATTTTTCCCCCAGTGGTCTACATTAAACAGAATGTTCATAAGGGTAATTTAAAAGTTGTGTTCTCTACTATTGCCAAAAAATTTATTATTTTTTTTCATCTTATAGGCTAGTGATTATCTACAAATCTAGCTTATATGTGCACACACTCACATAGGAAGGTGCCTATATAGTGAAATTTTTAGGGACAGTGTTTTTCAAATTTCAGAATTGTACTTTCCAGTATTAGTCATTAAAATTGAAACATTTACCTTTAAAAGGGAAAGGAGTTCATTAGCAAGTATTATACACTGCTATGTGGCAGGCAGTAGCTAAGTACTTTACATTACATTTCCTCAAATCCTCAGAGACACCCTATAAATTGGCATTATTTTCCCCCATTTTACAGCTCAGGAAACTGAGGTTTGGGGTATGTAAATTAGAGAAATCTACGATCTACTTCTCTGTGTTTACAGCAAAGCGCATCTGCTTTGCCCTACTGCCTGTAGCTTGAAACCCATTCTATATGTACTCTAAAGCCATCTGTATGATTAAAAAGAGGTCATGTAATCAATTTAATGAAAACAACTAAACATAGCCTTAAATAAAAATACATGAAGCCTTTAGGTTATTAGACATAGATTATATTTTTCAAAACCCAAAACTTTCTAAAATTCAGTACGCTGTTAACAAGAGTTCAAAGACCTAAGTTCTGGTCTATGCTCATGCACCAGACAAAATCACTTAATATCTCAGGGAATATTTCCTCATCCATAAAATATGAGAGACTTGAACAATATTATCTCTGTCGTTCCTCCTCACACCGGCATCACTAGCATATATGTGAAAATGCATTTCACATATTTTTTTGGCAATACTGTAGTCTATGACTCTTAAGTATGAATACAAACCTCAACTTATTTAGATGGTTTTGACTTTATTCTTATTTAAAGGTGTCATAGTCTCTCTCTCTCATTTTTTTCCCCCTTATTTTGAAAGAAGTGATTCAACTTGACAATCCTACATTTAAACATTACATATTTGATATGGAGGAGAGGGAATAGAATTGTGTCCCAAGCCCAGTTTGCCGCAAATTGCCTACCCTTGGACAGGTCATTCTTAACTTACCTGGGCTGTAACTTTTTTTTTAATAAAAATGAGAACTTTGGAATTCTAATACCCCTTCCAGTTTGAACATTCAAAAAGTTCTTTGGGGCTATTTGGGGAACTAAATCCCATAGATGATTTTTCTTACATATGAAAATCAGTTGCCCTAATTCTACTCTAATTTCTCCCTAATTCATAATAGAAATGTCTAAAAAACTGGCTGTGGTGACTTATTTGCTGTGTTCTATCCTCTCTCCCCGGAATGAAGGAAAAATAGAAAGGAAGGAAGGCAGGCCCTGGAAATTTTTTCTGTCTTAATTTATTACCTGACTTTTTTTATGCTTTTGAGGGCCAATGAGCTATCCTTAGGTTTAAAAATCTACGTGATGTAATAGTTAAAAGTCAGAATGTTGAACAAAGAGTATATTTTGATGCCAGGTACTATTCCAAGGGATCATATATAACATCCAAAAGTGGCATGGTATCATTAAGTTCCATCTTTGGACAACTCACTGTTAATTAAACCTTTTTCCCTTCCTTCAACTAAAGGAAGGAAGTCGTTTCAGATTGGCATGGGGACTAGCAGTGAAAAGAAATAACCAATGTGGGACCCTGTTTCTATTTTTATGATAGCATCCAAAGTGATCGTTTTCTTCTTTATCCTTGGGAACCTATGATTCCTCTATATATCTCTCTAAACGGCTATAATGATTAATCATCTACATATCAAAACTTTCTTATTTTAATTTCAAGCACTGGTTTTTCTTTCATCTACCAGTTTAGACCCTTTGTTGTTTTTGCAGGGTTCGCGCAGTTTATCTGACAGAATTGACGGGACATATTCTAAGTACGGAGTTCACAGAGAGTCTCTTCAGCAGCGCCTGGATGACACCAAGTACAGAATCCCAAGCTTCAAAGTAATGCCCTTTATATACACTTTCAGTCTTTGGGCATTATTCATGTTTATGGCTACAGCTTTCTAAGTAGCTGCCGCAGGTTTTGTGTAAGGGTACTAATTATAAAAGAAATTTCTTGATGTAGGAGATAGATTTTCAATTCTGTAGGAGTAGAAAATAAAAATCCAAAGACTGTGTTTATAACTTTTTCCCTGAGAACTCATCTTTAAGTTTATGCCATTGTTGCTTAATATGTTGTTTGTCTATGGGAATTGATGCTGCTTAAGAAATCCTGAGCCAGGAAACCTCTGGTCTCTTGATTGGTCAGAGGCTTAGTGTGGATGGTGGCCCCTCTCAATATGTAAGTTCAACTACTCTCGGTGCTGAGGTCCCCAGTAGGTGAAGTAACATATAGTATTTCATAGCGTTGGCATTTATAGTCATTCCTTTCGTAAGAATAAGAACTCCATATTACTACTTCAGCCTATGGTTCACTAGTGTGGAATCAACATAGGAGAGTGGGAAGATCTGACCATATTGACAAAAAGCCTACCATTCCCTAGAGTCTGTCCAAGACCCATGTGGGGTATGGGTGACTTTAAACTCATTTGACCCTGAACAGTTATTAGCCTAGAGCAGGGCTTCTTAGCCCTGGCATTAGTGACATTTGTGCCGGGTAATTCTCTGTTGTAGAGGCTGTCCTGTGCATTGTAGGATGTTTAGCAGCATCCCTAAGAATCTACTTACTAAATACCGGTAGCATTCCCCATCCCAAGTTGTGGCATCTAGATGTGTCTCCAGATATTGCCAAACATCCCCTAGAGCAGCAGTCCCCAAACTTTTTGGCACCAGGGACCAGTTTCGTGGAAGACAATTTTTCCACGGACAGGGCAGGGGGTGGGGGGGGGAGTGAGGGATGGTTCAGGCAGTAATGCGAGCGATGGGGAGCAATGGGGAGCGGCAGATGAAGCTTCACTTGCTTGCTAGCTGCTCACCTCCTGCTGTGCGGCCCGGTTCCCAACAGGCCATGGACGCGTACCAGTCCACAGCCCAGGGGTTGGGGATCCCTGCCCTAGAGGGCAAAATCGCCCCCCATCGAGAACACTGACCTAGAGAGAATCCATCTATATTCTAATGTACACTCCAAGTCGATTTAGAAAATAAAAAAACACTAAAGGTTCTTTTGGCTTTTTTATATTCTTACAAACTTCAGTATATATGAATATTCATTACACTGTATATATTCACTTATTTCAGCCAAATATAATTATTTTTAAGATGCTTCTTGCCTCCTCTGAATGTAATTGGATAGAATGCTCAGTGGATATAAAGACAGTATTCATTTACATAAGTCCTCCCTAGCATGCTTAAAATGAGCACTTCACTTCTCCATCTCAAACAAAAATTTAACACAGTTATGCCATGTTATTTATACCCTTATTGTAAAGAGGGCATCCTGGGGCTTTGTGCTTTTTTACCTTTGCTTTTTATATTGGTATTATTTACTATAGTAGTGACCTTGTTGTCTCATATAGTGAATTTTAAATTGTCTTCCAACGTTCTCATCAGGTCCCATATACTCAAGCATTTCTCCACCACTGAGAGGAGTGCCACTAACTTTAAACAGAAGTGAAAGGCTTAGGTAACAAGAGCTAATAATAATAACGACTCATTATTGAGCATATATTAGAACAAACTACATAAAATTGCTCTTTTTGTATGTGTCTCATGCTTTATGTGCATTACCTCATTTAATCCTCACAGCAACCCTGTCAGTTGGCACCATTATTTTTCCATTTTTACCATTGAAGAAAATGAAGTTATAGGGCAGTTAAGTGGTTGAATCAGGGTTCAAACCTAAATCTGCCTGGCTTCAAGAATCTATATCCTTGAGCAGCAGGCTATTATAGTATAAATTTGTACCTGATATTCCTTAATTTTTTTAGAAGTCACCAAATGTAGGGACTATATCTTTAATAAATAAAAGTCAGTTGTCTCCAAAAGTACATAAACACATTATATGCCTCTTAATTCAATAGAGGTCTGGATGCAAATGAAGCATTAAAAACATTATTTCCCAATACAGTTAGATCCGGTATTAGGTAAGTCAGTGCTGTCTAGTGGCACCCAAATTGCTATAAATCAATGCAATTTCCATAACAGCATATGGCAAAGCTATGAATGTTTAACACGTTCAGCCAGTAATCTCATTGGAGTTCTCTTTAAAATTACATTTGCAGCTGAAGAGGAAATCAAGCCTGGTTTGTGAGGCCAACACTTATCAAAATGAGAAATAAGGTTGAAAATTTTGCAAATAGACAGTACAAATATAAGGAAGAGCCACAAAGCACATTTTGTGATGACGTTGTCCCACATTAATACTAAACATTTTTAAATGTTAATCCATTTTACTGATGAATATGTAGGTTACTGTCATGTGTAGCAGAAGTCTGGCCTGAAATAATGTAGTGATCTAATGCAAAACTCATGAGAATATCACATCTTTTGTAGTCATTGTTGAGAAAAATGTGAGAATGCATTTTTGTGAATTGTAGATACCAATGATCATTTGCTTATATGCTTTTTATGAAAATAAGTTATTTATCAAGAATGAGAGGGGAGGCATGGATAATCAGAAAAGCTACCTCTGATTAACTATGGACATCTTGAAGAAAATAATAAGAGGCATTGAGACTCTTTCTATCAAGGGATAAGGCGTCCCATTTACTACATCAGTTTCATAAGATGTTATTTCAGCAGCTCTTGACTTCTGTCATATTTTGCTAGGACAGAGTTCAAAGAAAAGGCTCTTGAGTTCATTGGTTCTACTATAAACTCTGGTTCCAGGAAATCAGTTAGTGTAGGATTCAGTTTAATGCAACAGACATAGACTATACAGATACTATATTGCAAAAGCACTGCACTACCTGTTGGAGGTGGGAGTGGCAGGATGTACAAACATGCAGAAGGCATGGTCTTCAAGTAGGGAATAGTAATCTAGTCATCTTAATCCTTATAGGTAATTCTTGCACAGTTGTTTGAGAGCACAGTTTGGCTAACTACCACCCATGGGCCAAATCTTGCTTGCTGACTGCTTTTGTAAGTAAAGTTTTATTGGAATACAGCCACATTTATTTATTCACGTGTTGTCTGTGACTGCTTTCATACTCAGTGGCAGAGTTGAGTAGTTGCAACAGAAACTGTATGGCCCACAAAACCTAATATATTTATTATCAAGCCCTCTACGGGAAAAATTTGCCAATTCCTGGTCTAGAGGAAGGAGAAATTACCAATCTACTCTTACTTCCTTTACACATTATGTAAAATATTCTCTTTTCTTTATTTAACCAAAACATACTACCCAAGCTCTTTATAAAGTCATAATACTATCCATTCATTCAACAAATTTATTGAGTTTCAGCTATGTGCCAGGAACTTTCTAGGCCCCTGGGACTCACGTCCGTGAACAAAACAAAGATCCCTGCCTTTTAGAGCTTCTGTTCTAATTGTGAGCTGTTCAAGTTTGTTCTCGTTGTTGTTAAATACAACATTCAGCAAACCTTTACTGAGTTTACATTGTGTATAAAGCGTTGTGCTGGAAGCCGGAGAGGATGATGGCATAGTAAGAAGAGCCATTGTCAGTCCTTAGGAACTCAGAGTCTTCACACAGACAACTGTAGTACAAAGGAGAAAGGGGTACATGCTGTAAGGGTGACCCAAAAAAACTGCAGTGGGAGTTCAGAGAAGAAAGATGCTCTCAAGTCTTGAAAAGAGGCTTGTGATGACAAGGTACAGGGAAAAGGATCACTATTAGCATTACAGTTGTAGACCCCTGACTGTATTACTGTTAGCAGACAAATAACTGTTAGACTAGCAGAACTATATTGGCAGCTGGCTGCTCTCATGTCGTTGCTGATGTCAGAAGGCAGTGAAACATCCAATATGGCCACACTGCTGGTGGAGGGGAAGTGTAGCAGAAAGTGTACAAGTCAGGTTCTCTTTCAATCCAGAAAGAGAACCAACTCCTGCTGTTTACTCCCATGGCAATCACCAGGACCAAATGATCAGATTTCTAGAAACCTATTGAGAGTTTTAGCAGGACCAATGTCCACAACTGCTGAGAGCATAATGTAATATTGTACTAAGCTTACCAAGTTAACTGGTCAAAGCCTGATCTAAAAGTTTAAATTTAGAATTCAATTCAAAGCTGAATCTGACCCAGATTGTCTCTGTGTAGACAACAGAAACATTTCACAGCTTCTCGTTCATGAGGCCTAACTGGGTTTCAGTAGGACATACAGACTTCCTTGCTGTCCCAGCTGTTTCAAATAGAACAGAATGTTCAAAAGTCAGCCAATAACACAGCATTGCTAATCTGAATTCACGAAAGAGCATGGTTTGGTCCAAGATATTCCCATTTGCTACCTGCCCTTTTTGCTCTCTACCCATGCTAAATATATGGTTTTAATTAGCAGTGGATTTTTTAGTAAAATCACAAAAGGCATATTTTGTTCCCATCCTTCCTCCTCCTGAAAAAAAAATCATGATTTTCAATTTCCAGTAGAAGAGTTCATATGCAATTTCTTTTTAAAGAAGCAGATTTTTACAGGATAAGATGAGGTAGGTGAGGAAGTGTTGATAATGGCTTTCAGCACAGGTTTTGAAGCCAGAGTTTGCCGAAGCCCTTTGTCATATTTGTTCAATGTAAGCATGTGTATGCTCTAAGAATGTGCTTTGCTCCTGGAAGCTATTTCTCCCTCCTTGAATCTCTCCGTGGTTTGTTTATGCTTTGCTCATAGCAATTAATGGCTGTTAGCACTTTCTTTCTAAGGTCAGCTATTTCTGTACATATCTTAAATCTTCTACAATTGTAGCTTCTGAAGCACGCAATGCATAACTCCTCATGCAATTCAAGACTGTAGGTGATTTTTATTTAATGACTACTAAAATATATCACCAGTGTATTATTCAGATAATTTTACAAATATTGCTTGGGAACAGTAGTAGCAATCATGGGGGAA